TTTGCTCCATTTGGAACTGGTTGAAATCAATTGTTATTTTTGAGTTTAAATAAGAAGATGTTTTGTTTATTGTGATGAAATGTATTTGAATAATTGTTTTTAAGAGTGGAATAGGCTGTTCCTGAAATAAATGAATACTGAAATAATGATTCTGCTCGTTAAGTTGGCAAAAATGAACTCAATTCTCAATGAAAGTGTCAATGAAGTGTGAATGTGTTTCAAGTTTCAAACCTCACACAGATTATGCTGTCGGAGTGTCTGATGTATACGGGTAGGGTCGTTATTCGATTTCTGTACCTGAATACTGTTTGACTCCCGGTTCCTTGAAGTTAGGCGCGGTATCAAATGTGTGAGAAGAAAGTAGAAGCGAAAACATTTATGAATAAGAGATTTCTGGTGGAGGTTTTGTATATATGTTTTCGGGTTTGATTTAAGTGAGGTGTGTATTTTTATTTTTATTTTGGTACTCGAGTTGCCTATTTGTTTTGGTGTTTCTCTTTTTGTTTGAATGTTTGATCACTGTTGTAATCGGATTTAGTTTGAAGCAGTTTTCTGGGCCCAGTATTATCAATGGGTGATTGGGTAAGTGAATGGTTTTCTTCTTTAAATTGAATGATGTTATGAATTTTGCATTCAATGATATATTGTTTTTATGCTAACTTGGTAATTTCTAGGTTTAAAAGATTAATTCAGAACTTGTTAGAAGAGATGTTTCAGAAGTGCATTAAATACAGAGTTGTTTCAGCATGCACAAATGGAAAATCTACTTTAACATTGACGAACTGAAGATACATTTCAAAGCACATTGATTACACAGTGGTTTCAGCAAGTATAAATGGAAAATCTACTTTGTTATTCTTGTGAGATTGAATTATCCAAATTTGTTAATGTGTAATGTTTATTTGCCTTGACATTATGATTATTAATATTTTTAGTGTGCAAATTTGATTACTATTGGTTTTGCCTATTCTGAGTCTTTACTTGATTTACACCTTTATGGAAATTAATTTGACATTTTATCACCAGTTGATTGTATTGTAAAGGGTATTGGTTATTGTGCCTGAAAAATTTAATTTGTTAAATTCAAACTAAAATGTGTTGAAGTTAAAGATTGTTTGCTTTGTTTTTTCCCCTCTTTATTAATATATTAATTTGATTGATCTAACAGTTGATTTTGGTTTACTTGATTAAATTATAAATTTGTTGAAACTTAATTTTTTCATTAATGTAATTGAATAACTGTAACCCTCGCGCCATAGCCCATTTTATTAGCCAAATACCGCTATAACCATAAAGCACTGTTTATTTTACTTTTTTCTTTGCTACATTGTAATTATTAATGCTCGCAATTTGTTTATTATTTTATACAAGTTTGACACTAATCTAAATTAATTATTTCCCCTCCAAACAGACTTATTCAAGCCATCTGATGAAATTATACTGATTTTGCAAAATATAAATGCATCAAGCAAAATATTGCAATGTCAGATTTTTTCCAATACCCCTAGTATTAGGTGCACAAAACCAAAACCTTCAGTAGTTTTGAAGTAGTTATCTGATCGGTTGATTTCAACAGGATTTTAAAGAGATGTTTGTGGCATGGAAACATGGCCAACAAACCCCCTTGAATGCAAGGAAGCCATGATGCTACCAACTGTGAAAATCAGCACCTCTAATGACACAATTACATGCAATTTAAAACCAAAAATGAAAATTACAAATCACCATTTACTTACCAGTCACGTTTTTAAAGCTATTTGGGTTTCTTTTTTCTGTTGACCTCAAAATAATATAATTTGGTTATATTATTTGGTTGCTAAGGCCCATAGTATGTTTTTCAAACATCGAAGTTGATGGGCCCCAGCAACCACTCATTCATTTATTCATTCATTTTCTTTTCGAATTTGCCTCTTTATTAATTTGGGGTCGCCACAGTGGACTGAACCACCAATTCATCCAGCATATGTTCTACGCAGCGGATGCCCCTCCGGCTGCAACCCATCACTGGGAAACATCCATCCACACTCATTCACTTCAGACAATTTATCTTACTCATTTCACCTATAATGCATGTTTTTTTGGACTTGTGGGGTAAACCAGAGCACCTGGAGGAAACCCACACGAACACAGGGAGAACATGCAAACTCCACACAGAAATGCCAACTGACCCAGCAACCTTCTTGCTGTAAGGCGATTGTGCTACCCACTGCGCCACCATGCTGCTTCCCCAGCAACCAGCATTCTTCAAAATGTTATTTTGTGAAGTAAGAAACACATAAAAGCTTTTGCCGAGTTCAGACTGCATGATTTTGAGCCCGATTTTGACTCACTGACAGATTTTGAGAAATTGCCAACAAACGCCTGACATCACAGGCAAATGGGTGCACGTTCACGTGAGTTACAATCACACAGTGTAAATGAACTATGAAAGACGAAGAGTCACAGACACCCGTGGGATATTTGGCATGCTAAATATCTGGACCTATTGGCGATTCAAAATCATGCCGTGTAAAATGTGTTATGGTGGAAAATAACATCAGCAATTACCTACAGCCAATGAGAGAGCAGCATCCACTAATATGGGTATCTTTCATTTGAGCAATATCAACCAGGTCGAAAAAAAAGTTGGAGAGAAATGACTAAATCCCTTCGAAAGCCAGGTGAGCAAAATAAGTATATTTTCTACCCCACTAAAGGCTTCTTTCGAATTATTTCTTAATAACAAAAGATATACTAAATGACCTCGCATTGTCACTTATCGCATGTTTTTGGTTGTAAGATATAGTTTGTGGACCGAGACGTTGTCTGTGATACTTTCTATTGTAAAGTCATGCAGTGTGAAACCCACTGTCACTGATCCATCCTACTGTGTAAACACAGCAGCGACAAAATGCTAGCCCAGATAGTCATGCAGTGTGAACACATCAGTGACACAACTACTTTGAAAACTGTGCAGTCTGAACTCAGCATTAGCAGCACATGTGGGGAAAGTAAATGATGAGGCACTTTTCATTATTTTGGTGAACTATCCATTTAAGGCCTCAATAAAAGGAGTCCAATAGTTTACAGGTTAGTGTGTTATTGCAAGGACATCAACTTTAAAATTTAAAACCTCTAAATGAACTGTGATTGGTTGTTGTACATGTCAATCAGCCAACAGAAGCAAAAAAGTACTCCAGAACTTCTGTTGTGAGTCTGAAGCTCAGGCTATGTGAGATTGGATGGACTTGAGTAATGTTGACCTACCTGTATGCCACACGTACTGTACCCAGACATAAGTGCTGGCAGCGAAGAACAACCATTGTTTAGGGATGAACAGGAGGCAGATGATGTCTGATGTGAATGCGACACACACAAAGAACACAGAGAATGCCTGTGGAAGAAGATAACAAGTGCTGTGATGAAATTAAAAAGTCATAAGTCACTCGGTTGTGTAATCTCAAGTTGAGCAATGAAACACTCACCAGTCCCTGATATCTAAAGGAATCATAAACACTCCTGATGAAAAGCCAAAAAGGCCACAAGTACTCGAACCTGAACTCCAACACAAAATCAGCCAGCAGAACCAGCGCCCAAACGACCAGGAACTTCAGGTACAGGAAGGTACTGCAAGAGAAAAATCATTAATAGAGTTAAACGTTTCAGAAAATGTTACAACTTTTTTTTTGAACGCTTCCAAAAATTTGATAAAGCTTCTGCAAATATTCTGTCATCTAAACAGATAAAACAGATAACAAGGGGGTAACATTTTACTAAACAATTTCAATGACTTTTCCAGTCATTCATAATTACTGCATATGCATTTTCGGGGGAGGGTTTGTATTTATTTGTGAAGTATCAGTACTTCACATTTTAATTATTTTAATAAATGAACATAATTTACAATTATTTCAGCAATAATTACAATTCAATTCCATATATGTCTATGCATAAAAGTGCAAAAAATACTATTCTACAGAGGACTCTGCTTTCAATGGACTTCAGCTTAACCACAAATATTTCCATTCATTATAAATATTTCCATGACTTTCAACATATTACATTTTCACGACCTAACTTCCATGCCAACTATGCAAACATACCCAGCCGAGATGAGAATACCTCAACAGAGGATCTTGTATGTTTACATAAACTCATTTTTTTAGATGAGACCACAGATACAGTGAAAAGCCTCAGACAACACAGTGTCATGTGGAATAAACCAAAACGTGCTAAATGAAGTCGTTATTTCTGAAACAAAAATGATACTGAATAATCTAGCAAAACATTCACAGACACATACAAAAACAGTTTAGGTGTCAAAAACATTATGATAACGGTGTAAACAGTTTGAGCATCTGGCAGACCATCTTGTACCAGCAGTTAGTCAAGCTGTTTGTTTATATATAATAGTTGGTTCACTTAACCAGCTAACATTGTCCAAAACACATTTGCACAAGCTGAATCATCCAGCTGGACGTATTATGCCTGTAAAAGACGTCTTTACAACCTGAAGCACAACCATAGCACGACTAGAACTAAACACAATGCTAATTATTCCATAAAGTAAACCACTGAAGCCTGCGGATGACACACACAGGCCACCATCCACACATATTGAGCTTTGCTGAGGTGACAGAGGTATCCAGGTCTAAGCTAACGTTAGAGTCAGGCCGGAGTGTATGGTCAAACTGAACTGTCATCTGAATCTGACTCTGACAGCTCATTTACGGCCGAGCTCTGCTCAGAGACGCCATTACGGTGCGGTCGGTGCCCGGGAGCTTCTCTGTCCGTAACGTTACCTGCTGTGAATACCCTCGGTGATTCGGTTCCGTTTCAACGGGCGACGGAGTTTGCTGCAGTCCGCATTGCGCCGCTTCATTCTCCACCCTTTAAATTCCAGCAACTTCGAACACTCGAGGGGAAACTACGTGGACGTCCTAATACTGATGCGCATCGCTACGCGAATGCAAGGATGTCAGTGTTTTTCTTCTAGTAGACACAAAGAAATAAATAAAAACACTCTGCGTGAGGCCCTCCCATTTTTATTCTGGACGCCACGTGACGTAGCGACGCGGTGCGTGCGCGTAGAGCGACGTTAGCTAAGCAAGATGGCGGCCTCCTGAGCAGTCAACACTTCTCGCTGATTTTTATGTTTATTTAGTAGAGGTAAGCGTTGACGTTGAAATAAATTGTGGGTGGGAAGGTTTGCATAATGGGGATGAAAAAGTCAGGTGCAACATTGAGCAAATGGTGTGTTTTAATATAGAGAGCGCTTGATAACTCAAACACATGCCTTCCTCCAGCCATGCTTGTGCTAGTTTGGAAAACACGATTTATTTTTGCCACGTCGTGATGGGATTGAAGTAATATTTCAATAAAGGTTTTGCAGTTTAAGTTTAGATAAAGTTTCGTTTAGGATTACTTGTTTCTTTTACTTGAAAGTCAGATTATTTTGCGCTGCTTTTGTCGTAACATAGCCTATCTTGTTACATTTTTGAATGTGTATTATTTGCTCAGCATTCGTTTTGACATTTCATCTGAAGTCTTTATTACGTTTTTAACGCATAAAGAAATATGTAAACGCAGTTCTATTGAAGCTGCCAGTAGTTACATACTGTCACAATTTGCAGATATATATATATATATATATATATATATATATATATATATATATATATATATATATATATACATTACCCTGGGTTAATATGTGTTAATGTTAAATTTCACCTTTTTATTTAGGCTTTACTATATGAAAAAAAAAACTTTAGGGAAAATAAATGTAAATATATGGATGTTATGTGATATTCATTGACATATTTACATAAAAATGACCCAGCATGCTTATTCTTAACTTTACTGGTCATAATCTTTCAAAATTTTATTACATTTGATTTTATTAAAAACATATTGCAGACAAAAGATTAATACACAGAGATTGAATTATGTAACATTAAAAAATTAATGTTACAGTTCATTTATAATTTGTCATTCATAATTACTTTTCTAGATATCCCATATTGTTCAATATGACATATTGCTATAATGTATGACATTTTAGTTGATTTTTAGTAAATCATTTATGATTAAAAATTAAATGACATCTAGGGCTGCACAAAATATGGTTTCATCATTAATATCGCTATGTGATCATTCGCAATAGGCACATCAGAGGATTTGTAATGATGAGTTTGTTTGATAATTCAGCATTTGCATGACTTTTTGATGCCTGTAATTATATAATGACCTTAAAAGCATTCAGGCATAAGACATTGTACCATTTGTGACTTAAACAATTTATTTAATTATTTTTGTTATTCAGTTACTGTACTTGAATACATTTAGACTCGATTTGAAAAAAACCCCCACTTAATTTCAATTGTATTTTTTTCTTAATTGTATTTATAGATTGTTATGCATGAATATACTTAACTCATGCTAATACAGAAATGCACTGCAAATAGCACAGATCACATCGAACATATTTCGGGGTACCCCAAAAAGTTTATAGTTTGTTTAATAGATTTTATGGAGATGAAGCATCATCCCAATCCATCTTACATTATAAATTTATTTCCAAATAGAGATATTAAGTTATCTGATGAAATTGTATTCATATCAGCTTTCAGGAAGAACATAAAGATGCCTGCGGCACTTAACCTCAGCAATGAGGTGGTCAAGATGAGGGCGGAGGTTAAAAGAATAAAGGTGTTCCTCATCAGGAAACTCAGCCGTCAAATCTCAGCCCTGCAGAAGAAGAAAGGAAATGAGGCGAGCTTGGAGAAAAATGGCAGGCGAGCAGCGAGACTTCGAGAGGAGATCCGAGAACTGAAAGCTGTGGTGCCAGACAGTGTAACCAAGGCTGCCCTACAGAAAGACATTAGCTTTGAGAAAGTGTGCCGTGACAAAGAGGCAAGCCTAACTGACCGTGCCACTGCCCGCATCGCCACACATCCTGAGTTCAGCAAGAAGATCCAGAGCTTAAAAGCAGCCATCAAAGCTTTCAAAGAAGAAAGAATGAATGCGAGAAAAGCGGAAAAACAAGCAAAAGGCAGTGCAGAAAGTGACAGTTCACAGGACACCGATGAAGAGGATGATGATGGTTCAGAGAGATCAAACAACAGAGATGATGAAGATGGACTGAAAGAGGATGAGTATGACAAAAAGACAGATGAATTGATTGATAGCTCCTCACAGGAGACATTGAATAAACAGACTAACCAGTGTCAGGAGGAAGAAAGGTTGGATGAAGAGGTAAGTGTACTTCAAATGGAGTTTATATTAATAAAATATAATATATAAAATAAAATAGATAATTATATATATAAATATATATATATATATATATATATATATATATATATATATATATATATATATATATATATATATATATATATATATATGACCAATTTTAGATCAATCTTTTGACCTTTCTGGACAGAAATTTAAACCATGGACCGATTGCTTGCCTTTTTTAAAATGTCTTATCTTGTTTAATCCCGGCCCTTTTCCCAGCGCCGTACAACAGAATTTCCCACACACAAACTCTAGTGTAGTCACAGCATTAGGCTTGTTTGATGCCTACAGATAGGCATGTTAAAGCAGGGCTGGAACTAAACTCTGCAGGGCTGCGGCTCTCCAGGAATTGAGTTTGACACAATTGCTCTAAACCAGGGGTGTCCAAACTCGGTCCTGGAGGGCTGGTGTCTGGCATAGTTTAGCTTCATCTTCCTTCAACACACCTCCCTTGAAGTTTGTAGTATATCTAGAAAAAGCTTGATTAGCTGGTCCAGGGGCCTCATGTACTAAGACTTGCGTGGAAATCATACTAAAACATTGCGTACGCACAAAGCTGTAAATATGCGTACGCAGAAAAAAATTCAGATGTATGAAACACTGCATATGCCGAATCTCACGCATATTCTTTTGTACATCTGAATGAACGTGAAACTGAGCGCAACATGCACAAGCACAAAACCCCTCCCTGCCTCCTCCACCGTATGAATATGCTAATGACTCTACTTTGGCAAAACCCAACGAAAAAGCAAAGGCAAAAGCAAGCAAGAAGAGAAACTTTGAACTGAATGTGAATTAGAGGTGCTGCTTTCGGAGGTAGACCGGAGATAAGCGGTGTTATTTGCAAGTTTTTCCTCCGGGATTAACAACAAAAGAAAAAAAATAGAGTGGGAGGGTTTAGCTGATGCGGTTAACACAGTTGGGTCTGAACATCGCACTGAGTGAATTAAAAAGAAATAGCGTGATTTATAGGTGTAAAATGTTGAGGTGCCCATAACTGTCTCAGTGGCGCAGCTCGAAAAGCGCTTGTCATCATGTTTCGACGCGTTCGAGCATGAACTCGGTTCGAATACAGTGTCTGATGAAGTCATTCTTTTTTTCCCCCCGCTACATATCAGATTTTGCCAACTATTTATCACGAGAAAGACAAGTAGGAATCATTAATAAGTCTGTGCATCATATTTTATTTGCACATTTATTGAATGGAAATGTTTCTGATTCACACATGCAAATTCATCTTCAGATAGTGTCTTTAAACAGGCGGAAAACAGGCGACCGCTGCAATTTGCGCTTTAATGTTTGGCTGGTCAACTGTATGGTATGGAAATCTTACATACCTACTATATGAACCCGTCTCATACAGCTGCCATTGCAAGGCTCAGACACTTTGTAGAGGGGAATTTAACACAACTGCCTCTAGGAGTCGCTAATGGAAATAAAACAGACACGCACAAGAAAATGTGCGTACGCCTGCCATAAAGCTGGCGTGGAGCTGCGCACATTCCCACATTCAGTTCATCGTTAGTAAATCCAAACGTGATCGATTCTGAGTGTGAAACCTGGCGTACGCAAAGTTTTTGTGCGTACGCAGCGTTGATAGATGAGGCCCCAGGTCTGTTTAATTGGATTTGGAACTAAAATATGCAGGACACTGGCCCTCCAGGACTGTTTGGACACCCCTTATTTAAACACCATCATCATTTAAAAACATTTTGATAACTCACACAAAAAAATTGCTCAAAAATTTACCTGCTCTCAGACAATCAAAGATATGTTTTTTTTTTTAACTATTGTCCTTGGTGATTCAAAAATGCAGTCCTTAAATGATAAAATATATGATAAAAAATAAAATGCAGTCCTAAAATTGAACATTTAAACTGAACCTTATTTAAAAGCATTCTTACAATTAATCCTTATGTCATTGTCATGAAAAGGTCATACTCCAGACTGCCGATGGCTCAAAGTTTCAGTAGCCAATGACTTGCATTTTATAAATCACCTAGGAACATTGTTTCAAATCTTCTTTAATGTTATACAGAAAAAAATACACGTTATAGATGGCCTGAGGATGAGTAAACTAGCAGTAATATAGAAATATCCCTTCATTTTTTTTCCATCCACAATAATTTTTACTTTTGTTTCACTGAATGATAGATTAGTCTTTGAAAGATGATGTGTAAATACTGTTTTTTTATTCATTCAAAGGCACTGTAAGGGTGCTTTCACACCTGTTTCAATTACTTGATTCGTACACCCATGCCACCTTCTCGGCTGGTTTGTGTTCACACTGTCTTTTTTCTTTCTGAACCACAGTACGCTTGCATCATCAAGCTGCTGTTGTGTGTACAGCCATTGCTAGGTAACGGCCATGAAAGCCAGTGCGCCAAAATGGAAGGACGTACATACATCATGGTCATTCTGCTTTTACTGAATCTTTTTCTTTTACACATCTTACAGGGATCATCTGAAGCAGTGAGCATCTCAGAAGAGGTGATCAGGATGAGGAAGGAGGTAAAGAGGACGAGGGTGGCGATCATTAGTAAACTGGCTGAAGAAGTTGCTTTTCTAAAGAAGAAGAAAGGTGAGGAATATGAGGTGAAGGAAAGCCAAGAGAGAGCAGCAGTTCTTCTGAAAGAAATCCAGGCTTTAAGGAGCCTTAAACCAGATCAGGTGACCATGACAGCACTTCAGGAGAACATGGAGCTGGAGAAGATTTTGC